GCGTCTACAGAGTCCTTCATCCTGTTTAAGAATACTAACTAAACTAACAATCTGATATTTTTATATTCTTGTAATCGAAGAAAATCGATATCACTAATGTTAACTTGTATATGGACTGTTCACTAATTCATTAAAATTTAGCTGTTAAGATCAAAAGTCGATCATGAATACTGCTTGAAATGTTTTTTTTCTCAAATATTTAAATAGTGGCTATGACTACTTTTACGGGGTTGTCTCCGGTGAAACGGGATCAATCATCAATTTTGTATTATTGATCTACGTTGTAAATATCATTTTTACTGATATGACACTTCTTTTATTGGGTAATGATTTTTTATGTAGTATAACTTTTCAGTGGGTTAATATTCAACGGTAATTTCCAATCAGATTGTCTCACTGTAAGACTTCACTCACGTGTGTCACATGATTATAAACGATTTGACCTTACAGTAATGATGTCGATAACGATAATAATAATAATAATAACATAAAATGCATGGTTAGTCATTTAAAAAATGCAATAGATACTTCAAAATCATCCTTGTTGCGTGTAATTTCGTAATTTATCTAAAAATTTCTCGATACTGATCAGATATCTTATTTGAAGTAAACTGTTGTTTGATGTATCAGTCAGCGTCTTGATCTTGAATTTTAACTAGTCCATTAAGTTAAACAAGTCATTGTTTCATGAAACGGTGGCTCAAATGTTTTTGCGTTTAACTTTAAGCCTTTAATTCGCAAGTTGGAACCTCATTCCACTTACCTCGGTTTAGGTAACTGAGTAGTCACACTAATCATTTAACATTGTAATCAATTACATTCTAGATATTTGCTTGTGCTATGTAATAAAAAAACGTAAACAAAACTCGGTGTACTAGTAGTCCTTATTTAAGTAATTGGCAGAGATTAAGTTTCAACAGTGTTATCAATTAACAATAAAGATCCACACGAATTTTAATCGCTGAGCCATGATTTGCCATTGTGTGTTTAAATTAAACTATTCTCTGACCTATAGTTCGGTCCTCAATTGTTGGTCTGAATTGTGTATCTGTGTATCACGTGATCTAGCTATTAAATATTATGATATATGTTGTTAGTGTTCCACGGCTGTGTGTATAAACTCCAGTCAAATGCCCTGACTACATAACCCAATATAGAGCGTTCCACGGCAGGGTTGGATGGAGAATGCTGGTGAGCGGCCTATGCTCCTTCACGAGGAGTAACAGGCGTAAGTAAGTAAGTAATGTTGTTAGTGTGTTTATCTTTTTACCTACCAGTCGATTATCTATTCTAGTATCTTTCGATAATGTAATAAGAAGACGAAGATTATCAGAACTATGTGATACATTAGCGCAATACATTTCGAGCAATCTGATCACACATATACTTGTTAAGAGCAATTATATATAAAAATAAAAGGTCAACTAGACTGGAAATGGGGTAAGAGGAGATAATAATAATAATAATAATAATAATAATAATAATAATAATAATGTGAACACAATTCGAAGCCTAATCACTCTAGTCAATATTACCAGAGTAGGTTTAAGGTAAGAACTGTGTTTTGAATACCCCATTTCCAGTCTAGTTGACCTTTTATTTTTATATATAATTGCTCTTAACAAGTTTATGTGTGATCAGATTGCTCGAAATGTATTGCGCTAATATATCACATAGTTCTGATAATCTTCGTCTTCTTATTACATTATTGTAGTATCATATCGGCGATATTTATTTTTGTCATTTCAACAACATATTTTGCTGTTACTTGTAGCATTCAATGCTCTCTTGAGTAGTTATCATTCATCAAAGTATTACCTTCAGTTTATATCTTACTCTTTACTAGACTGTCTCATTATCGCCCTCGTTCACATTGTTGACATGTAACCTGCCCAAAAACCGTTAAACTATTAGTCTTGTATTACTGATTTTTAAAAATCTCAAGAACTTCATTCATTCTTACCAATGGATACCTATGAAAGTAACTATTGTTGATCATACAACTTTAATTATACTGTAATAATATTTTATCTATCCTTTTCCTTATCTTCACTAAACAGTTTCAATTTGTGTGTTTTTTATGATAAATCAATAGTGTACTCTTTTTTTCTCAATTTGTAACAGAATAAATCATTCACGTGATCCAACCTGCCTAACTACACTAATATTTTCTTTTAGATATTTATAATTGCATTTCTATTTATTCTGCTTCATTCTGATAATTTTAAGTTTTCAAAGGATCATCTCCTTACGCATATGTGTAGTGACATAAACAATCATATGACTGTTGATAAGACAAAATGAGTAGCTAGAATTAAAAACAAATAACCAAAACAGATTTATCAATATTTTCTCCAGTATAGTTGTGTTTTTCTTAATGAAATATCTCCTTACTCTCATCTGGATTAGTATCTGTCTTGATAAGATGTTTATTCATGTGATAGTCATGATGTTCTCATATCCTTTGTATTTATCTTTTGTTACGTAATAAAAGTACTAAGATTGCATACAGCAGCTAACGTATATTCATCAGTGAGCTTAAGGATAAAGGTAGCATCTTAAAAACAATTAGCTTTACGTGCAACTAAGGTATTTTCATGATCGAAGACATATTATGTTAGACTATAAACATGTGTTGTTTCCTTATGTTAACTTTTATGATTTACTTGTGGGTGTAACTACAATTTATGGACAACTTTTGAATGACTTACAGGAAAATGCCTAATCGTAAAGATTTACTCCGGATAAACTTAGGAATGTTAGAAAGCTTTGTTTTTGTTTAGTCCTATCGTTTAGATTGTAATGACAACATTTTTAATCCTAAATTCTCGAAACATAGAAGTTAAATGACATGACAGGAGATGGATGAGTGTTGCTAAATATAGTGAATTGATCAGAGTTAGACATTATCACTGTTAGATATAGGCCTAATGGTTTAGAGAATAAACTTTCGAACGCGAGACCGAGAGTCCTAAGTTTGATTCCCGTATGTGCACTACTGAGGAGTCCCATACTAGAACGAAGCGATTGTCCAATGCTTCCAGGTCTTCAGTCATGGTCTAGCTAAGATCTGTTCGTAATTGAAACTATAGGCAATTTAACCTAGTTAGGATTCAATTTCTAAACGTCAGTTATGTTTATTAACCTTCTATTTTTTATGTGCCTAGTTAAATTAACATAATTGTTTATCCACTGATGATAATATTGTGTGACAACAATCATTTCATAAAAGCTGTCTACATTTAAAATAAATATTTTTACCCTGAACAGCAAGATCTTGTGATAATATTGTTAACTATTCAGTTAATTAACCGTGATGTAAATTATGAAAATCCAAAAATCTCCATAAAGACTTTTAGCAATAATAATGTGCTCACTAGTCACTAACTTTGGGTGACAGTTCCAGGAGTTCTAGTAAGAGTTTAACCAAGTCAAATGTGAGACAGTTATCCGCTACGGGCGACGAAGGACTGTCACGTAGCATCACCAGTTGATTGATATTATTGACTTCCGACTCATTAGTTTCAAGGTCAAGGGCTCGTCGTCATAACTAGAAGTCCTAGATCAGACCCCTGGAAAGAATCATGGCTACTCACTTTCGAGGTGCACCATACTATCTCTATCCAGTCCTTCTTGTTTTTCAGTGGTTGTCTAACCAAGATCTGTCTACGACATAAATTATGAATATTCAGTTATTATTTGAGTGATTTTTCATCATAATTTGTTCATCAATTTTTTTTCGTCAGTAGACCAATCAGTTTAAAACATTCGGGAAATAAAATCTTAGCATAATGATTTAAGGACTTAGTTTTTTATTACTGTATCACACATTGAGCCCAGGTAAAGGATACCTAAACTCACTTGATAGCTAATAGTAGTACCAGCATTCATGAATATTATTGTGACCTTAAGCATTAACACGTACGTGATTAGTCACATGACTTGATAAAATTATTATATTCATCCTGATAAAAATTAAATTCACAGTTCCGTATTTTATTACTGAGTTGGAGCTTGAGAAACGCTAGTTGTTACATAACACTAAATGGATTAGTAAACCTCCTTTAAGAGTTAATTAAGGGTTGAAACGTCTGTCATTTGAATCATTGTTCAAAGAATGTATGATTGCTAAATTACTCAATTTCTAAAGAATGAGTCTCATGTCTAAACTGTACACCTACCTTGGTTTAACCAACCGAACAGGATTTATTTATTTATTTATTATAACACATAGGTATTAGTACAAGGAGGCACCAAATACATATGCGCCACACGAATCTCAATTGATTTGTGTGAGGGCTGTGATACTGCTCGGGTGCCCAAACCGAAGCAGGTAGTTTTCTTAGGGAGGACACCCCGAGCCTTTGACCTGAACGTCTGATCCACAAGGCAGTGGAGCATCGTGAGGAGATGCAGTCCCATGGTAGCCGGTGACCAACGATTGGTTCATACGCCATTTGTTCCTTCAGGATACTGGAGCCCATGTGCACCATTGGTTTGGGGTCCGGTTAAAGCGCTGGACATTCGCTTTTCGTCCTCTCATTTTCGTAAACAACACCCCCGCCACGTGAAGGCAGTGAGTAGGACTTCTGTGGCAGGGGCTATGTACGCGTGGCCATGTGAGAGCATTTCGAGAGGGAGAGCGGACTCTCCTCACTCTCGGCCGTACCAGGGCATTTGGGGGCACTGAACAGGATTATTATTGACCGTTCCATAAAGTCGAGTACATAAGCCTATCTTTAATCACTGAGTTGGATTTCATTGATGAAATCATAAGATGAGTTTAAAAAGCCTTGTTTAAAATTCATTTGTTTACAAAAAATGTTCAACATGTTAGTTAGTTATTTAGAGGTAGTTAGCTTAAAACTCTGGATTCAGGTTTCGTGATAGTTGGCATTATACATCATGTAATATTTGATCAAAATTTAGTAGCTTATTCGATGAATATATATATATGTCTGCATACTATTTAAAGTTTGACTTTGTTATAATTTTCATAGAAGGAAAAGTTTGGCCTTTCTAGACGTCATTCTACAACTGATAGTACTGATGATAAACTAATCAATCTGGATAAACATCGTCGAGAGTTTAGAATTCTAGCAAATATTTTTCTTCTTCAACAAAATGCCCAATTTTATTCACTGAGACCTGAACCAGATTTTATTACATGGTTTCATTCTTATCCATTAATCTCAGAAAATGAAGCGTAAGTTTATCACATCAATTATTTGTATTGTCATTTTTTCGATCAATATTAGCGTTATTGTAGAACAGACCACAACACTGTTCACTTATAATCAGTATATCATGAGGATATATGGTTAATTTTTTGGATTTTTTGTTAATTTTAAATTTTTTTCACTATAGACTTATTCCATTTAAAGTATTATTAAAAACCAGAGATAGTATGGATGATTTTGGACATTGATATTGAGTGAAAAATGTGCTATTTTTCAGAATGACTAAATTTGAAGAAATCTTGCTCATTGTGAAACTATGGTGTCAGGTGTTGTTATGAATTTCCAAGACCAGGAAGTTTCATACTACAGTGAGATGGCTCCCTACTGTTACCTGGTTCTAAACAGTTGATGCTGAAACTTCCTTCAAGTCGTTTTATTTTGAAACTTATCTACACTTAAAACCCCCTCGATAATCCAACATTCGTAATCAGTAGTTTTTAAAACTTTTTTTATATCTCAGAGCTGGTTAATGTTAGTTAAGACGCTTGGAATAGCTTCAATTACCTCGAAAGTGCAAAAATATTTTGTCAATGTGTGCCAACTAAACCCAGGCTTAATTTTATGATTTACTATGAGTTACTACCAACCATCTAACATTTAAAGCTTGAATCCATAACTAAGTCGATCATTTTCTATTTGGCACGAATGAAGTCCCTCAAATGCAAATAGCCTGTTATTCCTTTTTTATACCTCTTTTTATTCATTCTGATTGTATTAAAGATATTCTCCTAATTTGTTTATTCACTGATTATTTATTTTATAACTACAGTTTTAATCGTTCTTGTGATCTAGAACCAGTTGATGATCAAGTACAACAGCATATAAACAGACCTTTCAGGTAAGTAGAGTTTTAATAATTAAATTGAGAATCTATTCTACTTCCTGTCTATAACGATTACAATCCAAATAATCACTTCAAGTTTATCAAATTATATATTCACAAAATTTAATATTAAAGTACACTGTCATATATTTAGGATTGTCGATCAAATATTGGGTTGTGTTTTATGCAAAAATCAAGTATCCCGTTCGATTTCAAAGTAGATAGTTCACAAAAAAACAATTTTCAACTCAATGATCCAGTTATCTTGTTTAATTTTATGTACTAAGTATAGTTGAAGTCCTAATCATTAAATATACAAGTTTCGTAGTAAAGTAAAACCAGTTTATTTATCAAGCTGTAAATAACTAGTAAATAGTCACATTACCAACGATCGATTGAAATCATCCAAATATTTTATAAAACGATAAATAAATGTTGCACTTAAATATATTGAATACAGTAATAGCATATAGTTTAGATTTCAGATGTTGTATAAGGCAAAACTGTTGTAATTTTTTAAAGCATAACAACTTGATCGGATGCTATTTAAAGCTCTACATAGTTTCGATCAGGCCAGACAATTGTATCAAATATAGCCGATACTTTGTAAACTAAGAATTCTCTTAAACTTGGTTGCAGCGAAATAAATTTCTTAATAAATAATTCTATTCAACTGATGTTAAGAACATTCTTCGGTAAGGTGTATTGTCCAGTCAAACTTATCCTTACTGAGTGAGTAAAATATACACTCTGCAGAAAATGTAGTGGCCAGTCTAGCGCATTACTTCATTTCACATTGTTTAGCTAAGTATTGATTTGTTGTGAAGGGAATTTCTGCATTCAGATAGGAAATATTCCACGCATTCTTGTATATTCAGCTAAGGTATTCGAAATTCCTTACATTTTTTCAGGATCAGGACTGTGTCAAGTTGTATGAACTATGTCAAAGCATAAGATTGACAATGCTAAATATTCATAACATCTCCCTTGATTACTTAAGATAACAGAATGTTTGTAAGCTCTAGCTTCATAAATTTTAGCGTAAATGGCATTCATTAGAACGACTTTATTACAACATTCTACGATCACTAACTAGTAGCTATATTTCTATTTTAATTGTTTTCTTGTACATTATGTACTGCGTCATCCTTTTTGTTCTAATCTACATTTATCAGGACTTTTGAAGAGACAATTGATGAATGCTATTTTAACTTTTTTTGTTTTCTAGTTCATTCAAACTAGCTTTTACCGTTTGTTTCATTTCTAAAGTGTTCTACATAAATTTCTGTTATTTAAAATATCAATAAGAATTCGTCTGTTCAGTTCTCATCTGTTTACTGTTTAGTGTAGACTTACTTTACATGAGGCTTCCGACTCTTAAAATCAGTGTTCTTTTTTTCTTACCGATATGCTTCAAACTAAGAACTAAACGATTATATATAGTAAACCCTATTTTCATTTCTAAAAGATATTCAATTGATTTAAGTGCGGGAAAACTGTCGTCGAAATCAATTTTACACTATAATAATTTGAAATGCGTTCAACCTGACTATATGCTATGTTCGTGAAACAGTGTCAAAAAGGGTCAAGTATTCACCTTTGAACTAGTTAGTCTTCAGTTCAAACTCCGCCCGTTTATTTATGTTTTAGCAACTGATTAGTTTCTATTACCTATCCATTAAACAGTGTGACTAAAGTTTGAGCGCATAAACCTATACTTCATAAGTTACATAAAATTGTTTAGTGAATGTTAGATTAACCTCCGCTTATTTTTAATTTTCATTCAGCGCATCTTCATATACATTTGACACAAGTGATTCAAGTGGTGCAGTCGATATAATAAATAGTAATAAATCACGACATCCACGTAATAATACAAATATCCATGTAGAAAGATCTAAATATGCTATAACCCGTCCACCCAGTGCGACAGCTATTGGTGCCACTACTACTACATCAATCATGAAGAATCCTAACACTCACATTAGTATCATTAATAGTATTAGTTCAAGTCGAAATAATAAATCACGAATTAATGGAACATATTCATCAAGTGATTTACTTGATGATATCAAATACAACAGGTCGACAACTACTGAAGAACTGATTGCAGGAAATAGTTTGGACATTTTATATCAGCAAAATAACCACAAACATAATATAAAAGTAAGTAACTTCTTTATTGGACAAAAGTAGAAATAGTGTAAAAGTGAAATTATTGTGTTAATTCTTTGATGAAATATTTTGTATATTTTTCAAATATATTACTTATTAAAATAATTAATATCAGAAGGGGTTTTGTGGATATTATAGTAATTTCAATGGTTTTCCATGGTGGTCTAGCTTCAACTGGCTCATGATCTCAACCACTGATATTAAATAATTGTTTAGTGGTATATTTCTATTATATTCAATGTATTATATCTTTTAATTCATGAGTTATTGCTTTGTCTCTTTTCTAAATTCACAGTTATTTAGCTGATATATATATATATATATATATATATAGCAAATCTTAGCTTTCTATCAAAAATGTTCCAGTTATCTACCTATTCAGATTCATAAATCGTGGTTTCTTATGGTCAGTGATTTTATTTGCAGGATCACATGAATTATGAGAATTAATCAACTATACTTGTAACCACTTATGTGGTTTTCTACTATTCTAATAAGCAATTCAATGAAGTAGGAATATGTGTGGTCTGTAGATTGTGTGATGAAAGTACTATGACTCAATTGTTCAATATAATTTCAATAACATAGAAGACAAAAGCGTATCACCTTTATTTTCTTTAAAAAAAAATTTCTAGAAGAGTCAAAAAGTCTTTGTTTTTACTTATTCGAAATTATGATGTGATTTTTACTAAGGAAATTTCTTGGATAGATTTCAGTAATGTGAATATAGGTTTTCTGTGTTAACTATTCATTATTTAGTTCTTACAACTAAATTACTGAGTAAAAGGATTCCATTTGGTACAACTGATTAGATTGCACTAAATAACACAAATAAAAACAAATACTGTTGCTAGGTCTAAAAGAGCTGCAAGAATATCAGATAATAACACCTGTCCTGAAAGTTCGGAAAATTGTTATTTAGTAAAAATACAACTTTTTAAATACGTTTCTAAATATATGAACATTTAATTTGGTAATGAGTCTGCTAGTATCACTGCCAAGGGATTAATTTGATACTTTCCAATCAACTGGATATTGAATAGAACGTTGATGATAAAATAATCATGATATTTTATGATATCCCAATGAGTAAAAAGCAGACTCTCAGATATTCTGACATAAATTAGACGCTAAGGCGTAAAAATCGTATCTGAATAATCCCTAAAGAATCTCGATTCAGTTTGCCCAATGGAACGTTAGAATTATTCGAATATCAATCTCCGGCTTTCTACTGGGGACATGGGATATATCTCAATAACATTATTAAAATTAGTTTGGCAAAGAAAAGTTGTTTACTAGCGAAAAATATCAACTGTAAATAAAAAATGCTTTAGTTGCGTTTATTCGCATGCAAAAATGTCATTTAACGTTCTCGTCACAGAAACAATAATTTACGCAATATGTAATATTTATAAATGTATTAGTTGTCGATGCAGTAGATTATAAAAATAAATAAGAATTTACTATAACGATTCTTTCTTTCTTTCCGAGTTGTATATTATACCAGTGTTTTTTCTCTACCGTTCTCCATAATGACTCAACAGCTAATTAGGTTCTAAAGAGGAAATAAACCACTAGAAGGAAGAAATATTTTACATTCGGAAATAAGCGGAATAGTTACGACATAATTTTGTAGAGATCCCGTCGATAAACGAAGTTACCGGAAGTAATTTACTTTTACAATTTCTAAAAGATTTTGTGTAATACACTCCCGTTGATCACCGGTTGCAGTTAAAATTTCTTCAAAATTAGACGCATTTCAGTAGTGTAGTACAATCACAGCATCGTTTTTAACGATTCACATATTATGCATCAAAATTGAGATTTTCATAATAACAGATAATTCATGCAACGATTGAATGTTCTATCACGATTTAGCAGAGATATCCTGTGATTTACTTTACAGACTGATTGCAGTTAGGCAGTTGCTGGAAACAAGAAGGCATTGAATGGCAATTCCGTCCTAGTACTGGACTCGTCAACATTGAGCATCAGTGACTGATGATCGAACTGAGGACCTTGAGTTTTCGCGACTGGACCTCAACATTTAGATCACTAAATCAGCAATATCGTGAATTGACCGGAGTCAAAAATGTGAATCATTGGTTTAAGGATTAAGCACACGCTGCGTAACCCAACGTACTTGGATCCGAACCACAGTAGAATCGTAGATACAGACCTTTGAGGAGCACTATACTAGGACGAAAGAGCTACCCAATATTTCTTTCTCTACACTGGTTCTATTAATAAGACCGGTCTATGATGTAAACCCTACAGTTTTGACAGCCCTTTCATACTACTAACAATAGAAAAATTATCTTATTGACAGTGAGTTCATATACAAACTCGGCCTCCTGAAGATTATCTCTTTTGATTCAAATTAACTAATTGATGGGTTGCATGACCTTGATATTGTCCGTTAATACTTAGTCAAATATTAAGAGATGATAGGAATCCATATAGCTGACTGACGTTAGGTGTCATTTAACACTAAATCATAATACTTTATAAACTCTTCTTTCCAACCTTTATAGACATCAACTTCTAGATGGACCACACACAAAAGTTCATCAACTACATTTGATGCACGTAATGATAGCAATAGTAACGACAGTAATTTATCCATTACTGTTTCTTTGCATCATACAAATAGTCAGCATGACGGTCGTGTATCACCATTTATTGCTAAAGTCGCTCATTTAGGTAGCCTGTCGCATGGATCTCATGGCCATAATGATAATCGCTTTTCAAATTCGAAACAAACACAACCCATAATTCAATTGGTAAGTATTCAAAAACGACAAAACTTATCTATTTATTCATTTGTATTAGATATTTCACATGAAATGTAGAAAAAGTTTCAGAACGATATGGGTATATTTACAATGTCGTCTAATTGAAAGAATACATGGTATTTAGAGGTGGAGATTCTAAAATATCAAAAATACTGTTTTCCGGTCACTGTCTAGAAAATTTTGATGAATATGTCTTCATTGGGTTCAGTATTAGTAGACTTGCAGGATAATGTTGACATCAATCTTGCGATGTGGTAGGATGAAACAGCCTCTTTAGATTTCGATTGATGTGGCATGTTACGCCACGTAGAACATACACCTCCTAACAAAGATCAACCCTATTTCCCGTGGGCTCTCTTTTCCAGGTTTTTCCAAGTGCTATTTATTCTTTTAATGTCTGCTTCCAATTAACTACTCAATGCACTCTTCGATCTGCCCCTTTTCCTTTTACCTTCAGGATATCAAGATAGTGCTTGCCTTGTGATACATGTCCTATCCGCATCCAGCGCCTTGCCTTAATCCCCCCCACAGAAGGCTGTTGCTGATGGTATCCGGTCAACAGACATTGAGTATCGTGCGTAGACAATTGTTTTTAAATAATCATACTGTTTTGATAATGGTTGTAGTCGTTCTCCAAGTCTCAGCGTCATACAGTAGAACTGCGTTGACGTTCGCATTGAAAGTTCAGACTTTGATGTCAAATGACAGTCGTTTTGAGTTCCATATGTTCTTCAACTGTAGGAATGCTGCTCTTGCTTTGACAACCATTGCCTTCACATCTGCATCTGTCCTCTCAGTTTATCAATGATGCTGACCGGGTATTTTGGGCTTTCCACCTCTTCCATTGCTTCTCCATCAAGTGTGATCGTGCTGTCGATGTCTGTATTGTATTTTAGGATCTTGCTATTTTCCTTGCGTATATTGAGGCCTACTCTCGTAATACCTGATGCTACATTGGCTGTCTTCACTTGGATTTATTGTTGTGTGTGAGATAGAGAAACTTGGTCACCTGTGAATATCGAATCACCTAGTTGCATCCAAGTTGTCCATTGTACTCCGTGCTTCCCATGGGATATGGACGTCTTCATAATCCGGATAACAACCGAACAAAAGAGGAAAGGCAATAGTATGCAGTCTTGTCTGACACCGGTCCTCACTTGGAATGCATCTGTCAGCTGTCCTCCATGTGCAGCATTTCAGTCTAATCCGTCTTATGAATTCCATATGATGGTGACCATTTTCTCAGGTACACTATAGTGTTGAAGATGGCTCCACTAAGTTCTCTTATCCACACTGTCAAACGCTTTTTCATAGTCGAGGAAGCTGGCGTATAGTTACGAGTTCCATTCAATCGACTGCTCATCGACGATCCGTTGTGTCTCAATGTGGTCAACACACAACCAATCCTTACAGAATCTAGTCTGTTGATCTCGAGGTCGGGTATATACTGAATCTCATCCTGCTCGACAACACTCTGTTGAAAACGTTCTCCAATACTAACAGTAGTGTGGTTTCTCTGTAGTTCTCACACTTGCTCGGATCTCCTCTCCATCGTATATTGATGAGGAACCTTTCTATTCAGTGTGTCGGTGGCACTTGTTCTTCTTGACAAATCCTTATGAATAGAATGTGGAGCACCTTTGCAGTTACTTCGCTGTCTGACTTCAGTGAGTCAGCTAGTATGTTGTCTGGTCCTCCTACTCTCTCACACTCGATCTGTCTGATGACCATACTGATTTCTCCGGCTGTTGGTGGGGTAAGATGTATGAGAGATTCTGTAGGTGTTGCTTCGATGTCTGGTGAGTTCAGTGTGTCTGATCTATTCAAGAAGTGTTCAAAGTACTCTACTCACCTATTACTCCGTTCCTGAATCTTATTGATTATCTTCACTTCCTTGTTTTTGACTGATCTGTCTGGTTTATCATATTTCCCTACTAGTTTCTTCGTTGAATAATAAAGTTGTCTTAAATGTTATTCTTTTTCAGCTCTTTCCGCTGTCATTGCTATGTCCCTCACGTATTTCTGTTTGTCAGCTCTAGTACTCCTCTCCACTCTCTTGTTTGCTTCTCTGTGTTTGGTCTGTGCTCTTGTTTGACTGTTGTTAATTGCTGTATTCTTGTTTTGCAAAATGTTGCTTCGGGATTGGGTTGCATCGACACCCGAACTAATGATAGGGAGTGAAGTAGTTGGGCGTGTCGACCACTTCACTTATCTTGGAAGCCTCATCAGCTCTTGTAGTCTGGTGTGTGACGAAATCTCAGCACGGATACAGAAGGCTCGACTAGCATTTGCCAACTTGCGTCATTTGTGGCATAGGCGAGATATCCGTCTATCAACCAAAGGACGTGTTTACTGCTCAGCAGTTCGTTCCGTCCTACTTTATGGCTGTGAAACATGACCGATAAGAGTAGAGAATATTCGTAAGTTACTAGTATTCGATCATAGGTGTCTTCGAAACATTGCTCGTATATCGTGGGACCACCGAGTAAGTAATGCAGTTGTTGAAAAACGGGTACTAGATAAGGATGGCAAATCAATTGATGAAGTAGTGAAACTTAATCAGTTGAGATGGCTGAGACATGTGTTGCGTATGCCAAAACACCAACTGCCCCGACGTGTTTGTTCAATGTTATAGGAGTGGGTAGGAAGAAAGCTAGGGCCGGCCAGACCAAAACATAGCACAAATCCATTAAGTCACTGACAAGTGAACCGAGCCATGTTGGTAGGTATAGACTACCTGGTTGGGGTCCGCGAGACGATAGCAACCGATGGTTAGAGACCTTGAATGACATGGCTCAAAATCGTTTGCAATGACGCAGATGCATCCACTCTTTGTCGTATCTCAAATTCCAGTCTTCTGAATTCTTCGTGTCCCTTGTTTTCTCTATCCAAATTTGTTTCACTGGATTATACTCCTTGAATAATATTTTCAAACCGTAATCTTCCCGATTATTTATACTTTTGCTACCTCTACCACTACGGGATTTGAATCGACAACTGCATCTCTGTGCTAATGTGGTGTTACAACTCGAACTGATGTACGTAAGTACGGAGTTCTGCGTTGTTGCTAACTGACTGTATTCTTGTTTTCCTTTTCTTGACTGTTTTTCAAGGTATCTGTAGTGACTAACTATTCATGCTGGTGCTACTTACGTTTGAGCATCTGTGTTATGATTTTATGTCTGGCTTTCGATCACGTAGCTTATCCACCAATGGGAATACAACTTATACAAATTTTCGCACTATGACAAAACCAATGACGTTCAACCGGTATGAGTAGTCTAGCGTCCTTATTTGGTCCTATGTTCTTCTAGCCCGTCCGCTTGAGTCCAAAACACATTACCAGCTTCTGTAATATGAATTGAATCGAATCATTTATTTCAGACATACTCGGTTTATATATCAACCAGACAGACCAAAACGTACCATAAAATAGAAAATGACATGTTTACACAAATAAGCCAAAAAGTGGTTGTGAACGCGGGAGATAGTAATTAATAGACAGGCCATAACTCAAGAATAATAAATCGTATAGTAATTATCTATGGGTCAAATTAAAGCTTATAATAAGTGGAATATAAATACACAAAATGTAATTACTGAATAATTATACAATAAGAATATTTATAGAATATTAGTCCATTAATAGTCCTCGGAAGTTACCTGTAATTTAATCTTTACTGGGATATAACAATCTGACACTTTGATCTTATTGTTTGTTTCGTCCCTTTCCAGTTGTTAATAATAGTCTCGCCTTCTTTCTGTGGAACATGTGATGCATTGAGCTTATTGCTCCGAGTTTTCTTGAGTTCGTTGTGTTTGACCGTATCTCGAAGGAGGGTTATGTTAAACTTTTGTAATCCTGTCTACCTAGTTGTCCAATGCTTATTTAGTTTCAACTAGGCCACCACTAGGTGGTGGTGATCTGAAACTATATTAGCCCCCCGTTTTGTTATTACGTCTTCCATGGATCTAAATTTTCTCTTCATGCAGACGTGATCGATCTGGTTCTCTGTACTGTGATCCGGTGAGACCCATTTATCCTTGTGTATGCGTTTGTGGTGGAATATAGTGCCAGATAAATTTTCAAATTTTCCACCATTCTCGTTTCTTTCTCCAAGTCCATTCCATCTCAAGATATCTTAATACCCAGCGTTGTCTATCCCGACTTTTTTAATGTCTAGCTAAAGTTAACCAATGATGTAGATCATCCTCCTCGCCCTGTGTATAATCTCTTCTTTAGCTACGGTCACGCATGCTATGGTAGAACCGCCTACGAGCACTAATTTTTAAATGGTTCCCCAGCTGATATCAACTCGTGACTTTTATCAATGTCCCTCATCCAAACATTTTGTTAGAAATTAACAGGTGAATAATCATCGTGAGTAGCACATCGCTAAGAAGTGTTTTTTCAGGTTGAAATTGCAATTGACGATTCTAGTAAACAAAATCCTACACAGTGAACAGACCGCAACATCCTCATTTGATTTTCATTTTGTAGGGATTCATATATTATCAGCCTACGGCGAAACACCATTTCTATTATTCATAAACAGTTTCTCAGAATAATGTCAAATCCTCTATAGGCATCCACGTATTTTTCTAATCCAAAATTTCTGTCATAACCCATATCGTTTACATATATTTTCTTAATAGTCAGTTTCTCCTGTGGATAGTGTTTCTGATGTACTATCGAAAGCCCTTAAATTATTTGGTTGTGCTGATCAAAAGATTGATAATTATGATCTAATTCATGTCCGTAAAGATGCTCGAGGTAAGTGATTTTTTGTAATATTTCAAGAATTTCATTTGTTTTCGTTCTTTTGTTAATAATATCATGAATTGACATAAGTTAGACAACCATGAAAAGCAGGAAGCAGTGGATGGTAGTTTCGTTGTAGTACACATACAACCCTACTACATACGATTGAACTTAGGCTTTTCAGATCTTGAGGCGAGCACTTAATTTGCAGACCACTGAGAAATCATCCTATAATGTATATTTCTAACTTAAATCATATTGCAACTATCTTCCATTATCTTCGGAGTGTGACGGCCTCATACTCGAGATTGTTGGATTCCACTGATCACGGCTTCTCGTTAGAACTCTGGGAATCAGTAACATTCGATATATTCTGAAACCTCTATACTGATAATTATCATGTGCTTACTTGTGACCGATTTTAGGAGTAATATCTAGTTTTGGTGACCAATGAATTTTAGCTATGTCATGTGAGACAATTTCCCTCCTAAGATTATAAAAGATGGTCGCTCAGTATCACGAACTGTTTGAAGTTAGACATGTACACGACCAAATCCCGGTCAAGTAGGTTGGAGATTAAGCGCTCGCTACAAGACCTGAAGACCGTGACTTTGATCTCTTGTGACAAGATTGTGTATACACACTACTGAGGAGTCCCTGGGTTACTTATTGCCCGGCGCTTCATGTTTTTAACGGATGTCGATTTGTGATATCAGTAACATTCAATTCTCTACAAAACCCTTGTACTGATCGTCTGTTAATTTTTGATTTAGTTTTACTGAGACAGTCGACAAATTAGTGGTAGATACAAATGGTGTAGAAAATTGTTTACTCTTTGTATTGAACCTACTTACGTTCCATGTGCAGTATCATTATTTTCTACTGACTTTGTTAGTTTGATGCATATTTAGAAATAATCATCAAATATCTGCATTCTTATTAAACTGCTCTGGTTATATAATGCTTAAAACTGATGGACAAAACGTTTGTGATCTAAATTTTACGCTTAGCAGCTCTTTCGAATCTGAAAATATTCAACGTAACACAGGGTATACGCATCCCCGATCTTAAAGATGTGTCTTTTTGATAAGTTTTAAAAAGTATACTGTCTACTCCCATAAATAATCTGTTTGATTACTACTAACAACCGTTAAATTCTAATAGCAATGTAACACTATATTGTACCGCTTAAAATTAGTGACTAGATTTTCATCTTCATTACTGAACAGTTACTTTCTAATGAATAGCCAATAAATGTAAAACTATAACATTTTATTTGTTTAATTTACTCTTTTCTCCGGTTTTCATTTCCCATAGATGTAACTCTTCCAAAAAATTTCAACTTCTATGAATCGATAAATTATTCTTCCTTTCATTTATCAAATAATAAACATTATGAATTATTAGAATTTATTTGTACACCAACTATTCATAATGAGAATAATAATGACAACAATAATAGTAACTATAGTAATAGTTTAAACACTTCACCATCATCATCAGCAGCATATATAAAAACTAACAATAACACAAATTATCATGGTAAAAATCACAATTCACAGCCTAACATGACTACAACTGAATATGCTAAACACTATAAATTAACAAGTAAAAGCTCAAATAAACATTGTACTGTTGAATTATGGTCATGAGTATTTATCAATAATTGTTTCTTAAAAAAGAAATGAAAAATTGATTGTTTTTCCTCATCAGTTTACTGTTATTTTCCATTATCAAATGTGCTGAAATGCATATTGCCATTGTTAATAATTTTGTCGCATGTTTTTTGTCACTGCGCCATTTATTTTTCCACTAATTGATCCTATCAGTCAATAACTAAATAAATAAATTCCCCCTCCCCGAAGAAAAATTTGTTCAATATTTCGCCATGTCTTTCATGATCGCGCATTTTTCCTAAATAGTTGTTCTGTTTCTTCTATTCTCATCACCTCTCCTAACCCCGTTCCCCTTTACTCACCTTGAATTTTCTGCCAAATATGTAGTATATTGTTTTAATTAACTCCCTTATGGAGTTGTAAGCTACGTCGAAACACATATCCAGCAGTGCATCTTTTATGGTAATGTGATTATTAAATGTTGTGATTTCACACTTTCTTTGTTTATTCCTCACAACCTAGATACTTACTATTAAGGAGATAATAACATCTTACTTATTTGTTCACTGTTCAATAGTAAAGAATCGCTGTTTGTTTTACTTTGATTTATTTTTTATTGACATTGGACTAAAAACAATCAATTGTATATTTATAAATTATTGTGTATTTTGAATATCATATTATTGTCACAATACATAAATATATTTTCTGTCTAACTTTTATGAAAATTTCTTAATTTAGAAATTTCGATGAACTTTTTCTTATTAATTGATATTTCAAGTTAGATAGGGGATAGTTTGGAGTTTAATCAAAACAAGCCATGTTCTTACTGATATACTAAGTCTCTGGTACAATTATTTCAAATATGATCTCATTCAAATTTGAAGCTTAGCACACAATAGATAACATCATTATTACATTGACGGGGATAATTATTAAGCCAATTATGAAAGTGTAGAAAAAACTGCAAATTTATCAAATACCGAGTGTTAATTATACTAATGTTGGCAGTTTATTTCATAACATTATCCTTGAATAGTGATGAAATTTTCAACTGATTTATGATTCTATCAATGGAATACTGTGGGGCAGTGTACTAGGTACATGGTCCTTTCCTGAAATTATTAGCTGTTATAAACATACCAGGTCCGCAGCAAATTGACGAAAATGAGACTCCGCACTATGTATACAAATAGATGCCTTTAAGAAATATGTTTTGTATCTCAAATAGTTAGTCACGGTCAATAAATGTTTGTTATTAACCAAATAGTCAAATTGAAATATTGACCATTATTTTACATTGATAAACACGATACAGCCATTAGTAAAGGAATATGTACGATTTTTATATTTATATAAATCAAATCACTTTTTTAGAGTTATGATTTTTGTGATTGTACTAACATTTTTTCGACACTCGAGGACTCTTGAATAACAATGTCTGTATTTGACTTACACTATTTACTTTTTAATGTATCACACATAGAGCATAAAACTGTATATTACTGGCGCATCATATGCCGATAATAGATTTCTGTATTACAAACATTTGAGTGAAATTTCATTTCTAAAAATGCAGTAAACGTCATAAACTTCAGGAGTATTGGTTATTACTAATTTAATTACTTACATTCATTCCAACCTGGAATCCGTGTCTTAAACGGCTACTGATCTAGACACAAATCTTCAACAATAATCACCCAATACATTGAAATTACTGATTCCCCTGGTGGGAATCCTATGCAAAGTAGCGTGCAGGGTCTTATAAAGAACGAAGAAAATAACCGTTAAAGAGAATTTAGTAAAAATAATCGGACAGTAACATAAAGCACAATAGGCGTCTAGGTACTATTGAGAATAAAGTACTAACTCATTAAAAAAAGTTATGTAGCCTCTATCTGTTAAATGAGAGGTATCATTAGACAGAAGTATACTGATTTTTACAATTAGAGACAACCGATAGCACGGAGTATATGCGATTTCGAAAAACTGAGACCCCGATGGAATCAAGTTTGCGTTACCTAGAGTTACAATTACACAGTCGTTTGTAATTTGTTAATAAAAAGCCTATTGTCTTATTTTAATCATTGAATACTAGTGCTACTGCTAATTTTGTAAACTTGTGTGTTTCGCCAATAAGATAACCAATACCTCAACCGTTAATTATTTGACTGCTGTGCTGATCAACTTGAATCAACGAATTTTTTCCGGGTTCCATGTACGCTGCTTCTTTATGAGTATGTATTATCCTCAGCTATAGCTAACATAGAGAGTGACAAATTAAAGTCTAGCGGTCATTTCAAATTATTTTAATCAATACTGATGAACACAAAATTGATAGACAGTTGATGATTAATGTAATGCATAGTTTGCTAAAAACATACTATTTTTAGACATACTTATTTAGTAATTCACTAAACTACTGTTATTAAATGGAGGGTTGTTTTGTTTTGCATTTTCTAATTGATAATTGTATAAAGCTCAGTATGAAGTAAACAAATCGTTTACAAGTGATATAAAGAATGGTTGGTGATATAAAATATGGGTTTATATATGCCCAGTATCAAATGATTACTACAGAATTACCAAGGCAGAGATAAGTATTGTATCTATCGTTCCCCTTTGTACTGATATTCTGGTCTTAATTTTAATGGCACCCAAGCAATCTACAAAATCAATATCGATCATCTTCAAACTGATCACTAATCATACTTGTTTTAATCTTCAGCAGTTTGTATAAAAACATGTTGTTTTATTACGTATAAAAACCTATTTTCCCGACTGATGGTTTTGTCTTTGATATTAGTTCATTCAGAGGTTTGAGCATTACTCAGTCACACAACCAACTCGCATTTGAACTTTTGCGCCAAATAAATACAAAAGCCAATATCTGGCACACAGAAAATGCTCTAATTTTTTTAAATAAATCGTTTTTATACAGAGATTCCATAAGAGAATCACAGAAAATAATTAACAATTGAATCTTCAAGTAATTAGTTTACAGTATTACTAGGCTTGAAAAATGATGACAATGAAGCTTGTTTACTAGCTGCCGGCTTATTATTCATGTTCTTTTTGCTTGACTGTTTGGGTGGCTTCTGTAAAAGTAAAGTGAATCAAAACATAAAAAATTAGAATATCATACCTGTGGAAGCAACACTAATAAACAATGTGAAGAAGTGTGAAACAAATGTTGCGGATAACCTTAGCTACTTATAAGTAGTATGAATTGTTTGAACAGAATTCACATTTTACTTGAAATGGAACCAAACCTCATGAAAAATTAACCAGAATTTTAGTATTCGTTAAAAACATTTACACCTTGATGTGTTGATTCACAACCTCAGATGGGAATAATAGAGTTTAACAACTGTCGTTGCGGAGTTTCTGTAGAAATTGTATACCAAAATACTGAAAGCTTAATTCACACTAACTGCTCAAGTTGAAGAAAATATTTCCCAATATGATATTTAAAAAATAACAACAGCTTGTTTCCTAGACATTATCAACGTAAAAACAGCAGTATACTGCCACTAAATTATGTGTCATACACTAGTAAATTGTTATCATAATGACCATGAATCCAATCTTACAGCCACCACAACAAAACGCTTGGCTGTGCGCTAGTCCCTTTTTATTCTTAATAAGTTTGAAAACGAGATTTTAAATGCATCATGACTAGTTTATATTTTCTAAGTAATACGGAAAAGCCCTTATTAAAAGATCTACACTTCAAATTAAAATTCCCAAACCAGAATTAAATAAATTCGTAGTTTGATGAACAGTACATACAAGTGTAAGTACTCAGAGGACTCTTCTTGTTTGAGTATTTTCAACCATCGGTATTATAGATAACCATTTTACTTACCTTCGATTAATAACTAAATAAAAGTGCATGTAATTATTTGGGCACCAAAATTCATATGCGCCAAACTTCGGCATTCGATTTGTATGAGCGTTTAGGATACTGCCGGAGCGCCAAAAGCGTAATAAGCTACAGATAACATCTACTGTATGGTGACAAACGATATCACACTTTTCAATGACGAGGAATAAAAAATGTATTCAAGTGAAGGTTAACTACTTTTTCTGGAGATTCGCAGTTTAAAGACATCCGCCACGGCCAAGAGATTTCATTCGGAGTGTTTAAAAATTAAGTTATTAGCATCACCTAAAAGTGTAAACCTATGTGTTAAAATAAATAAATAAATAATAACCTAGCTTTGGTTATCTAGGGGTTTCATCATTGCTTTAAGAGGATTAACAAAGCAAACACCGGTTTTCTCCAAGTGATATGTTTTTAACCCACTTGTTCAGATATTAATTTCTTAACAGAAGCCATGTATCATAATAATCGGAAAGTTTGATGCTTTTTCCAATGAAATGGTAATGAAGTAAATCACCTAATGCTGTAGTAAGGTCAAAAAATCTTATATAATATTACTGAGTAATTTTCTTTTGAAGGATAGAAAAATCAAAAAAGTGACCATAATTCCTACTTACAGTCTGTTGAATCGTTGGTGGTGCAGTTAGAGAGACAGTCTGAACAACCCCTTCATTTTTCTCATTTTGACTCATACAAGAAGGAGAGGGTGCTGTTGTCGGTTTAGAGGTTTCATCGTCTGATGAACATTCCCAGCCTTTTTCCGTAACTAAAATATATATATCACACTTGTAAAGCATCGTTGTAAGAACTATTTTTAATACAAATGTAGTGTGATGAAATAACAATAAAAATTAGATGATCATACAATTCAGTGGTAAAATCAACCACATAATTGTCCACTATTAACAATAGTTTCGGAAAAGTTTATTTTACCCATAAAGCCATCTTCATCTGCAAACGTTTTCATTACTTGGTGACGAATACGATTTGAATGAGCAGCACTGCTAGATTTCTCAGTCCTTGAATTTTCTTCACACTTACTCGGTGTTGACGAAGTTTTAACACTGACTTTTTTAACATCATCGGGTGATTTTTCAGACTGTGTAGACTCGATGAAAAATGAGTCAGCTTCTGAATCAGAAGCTAATACTTTCAGTTTATCTGAAAGAGAGAATGAAAACAAATACCTTTGAACTAAAAATATATAATGTAAGATTATAAACGTCTATATACTCTACTATGCATCAAAGTCATGATACTGAAGGATTATTGTTTATATTGAAATATTTGATGACTGGGTAATCGACCATTATCCCAGCAAAAGGATTGGTATGTAGTTGTAGAGTAGCTGAAGGCCAGCTGAGCTGCTCCTTAAGGTGTTCCGCCATTCGTTCTAAACGCCGGTACTGAGCAGATAAGTGTCGTCTTTTTACGAGATCGTTTCACTTACACTTGACTTGTTTATTCCAGTATCTTTTATTAGTCTGAAGAGCTGTCTGGTGTTACCTACAGTCGCTGCCTTTTCCATCTCTTTCGCTTTCGTTGCCCACCACTGCTCACGGTCGTTCCTCCGACTTTTGGTTAACCTAGATCTGATTTGTTTTTGCTCTTCATCGTGCTCAGAGTCTGATGGGATGAGTTTACGAGAATCCATCAGTGCAATAGACTTAGTAGAAATTTATTGGTTTTTCGTAACCTTTTGGTTTAAATCACTAATAGGTATCGCTACTGTTTCCACAGCTGTTCGTATATCTTTCCAAGTAATATCTGAGTCAGCCTCGTTTTCAGAACTACCTAAGTATGACCTCAGATGTTCCTTGAATTTACTTTCGTTTTCCTCACCGTTGAGTTCAACTCTAATCTGTCTTCTTAATGAGGCTTTTCTGCGCTCAGCGGGGTGCAAGCATAAGCGTGTTCGTATTAGTGCATGATCAAAGCCTAAACATGTACTCCAGAACGAGCGGCAATCTTCTATCGAGTCTCTCCAAGGATGACTGATGTCTATTTGAGTCCATAGTTGGTTTAATGCAGGGGGTTGTAGTGTCTATTATCATGTTAAGCCCAAATACCTTATTCTAACTTTCGGACAGCCCATTCTATTCATTCTACTTGGGTCACATGCTAACCTTGTTATTTATTCACTTATCAATCTTAACTGTTTTTATATGAGCGCGTAGGCGTGTGTACACTTCTTATCCCATTACTCATTACATGTTTGTAACTATAAATATTGATTAACTCTTGATTAATGGGGAGTTGGCTTACCAGCCATCTCCACTGCGCGTCGTTTTGCTTCGTTCTATTCCATTCGATTCATGTACAAAATATATGTATCGAAAAATCCATTCTCGTTATTTGACTTATTTAATTCCGTTATTAACTAACGCGATTTAAATAAAGGATTATATACGAGGATAGGCGATAGCGATCATTTATACGATTAAATTCGAGTCAGATCACGGGCCACTAAAGTGGAGAGCCCCTCGTCAGCATCGTCCGAACTAAATGACGACAAAATAAAGGGCCCCACAAAAAGTGTTGAGCCCGCCACTGCCGATGAACTCAATAGGCTCCACTAAAGGGTCGCCATATTGGACGAAGTCTCCCCTTATGTATAAAATTAGTGCTTGTTAAAAATTAACGATTGTCTGAGCACAGTTGCAGCAAACAGTCATCATTATCCGTTCACTGATCTGGAATACCGAAATGCCCACATAAATGTCTTTCGGCTTTTCTAAGCTACCTACTTCGGCATTAAAGTCACCTGATACCAGTACTATTTGAGTATTTAGCTTTTTGAAGAAGTTCAGAAAGTTTTCTGTAAAAGTCATATTTCACTTTAACCAGGCTGCAGTCAGTGGAAACACAGGCAGAAAGGAAGAAAACGCAGCGACGTGTCCAGATGCTCCCGAGATCTTACGGAGCCGTTTAGCCGAACAACTTATAGGTGATTAATAACGGGGATCCATTCTAAGAGTGCTCACTCTGCCTTCATACTGTGTTATACTTACACTCGCCAGTTCACGAGAACTTGCCGTCAGATCGCCAGATACACGCAAGAAGTACCTCGTCGGCTCACTGTTTTGGCTAGGTGAGGTCAAGTGAATAACCACACTAGGATCCTGCATGCGTGTTTCGAAGACAAAGCATATATTGATGGTATGAGATTCTAGGGCCTTAGCCAAGAAGGCCTGCTGGCCGACTTGACACAGGGCACGGTACGTTGAAGGCTCCAATGTGCAGTTTGGGGTGAGGTTCCGGTAGACCTGAAACTATTTCGAGCACTAGAATCGTTGACCGTGGTTTCAGACAGTATAGCCCGGTTGGTTCATCACGATAGGCAAGCCCGACCACCACGTCAAAGTAACAACAAATAATGGGATAAGTTTGGAACTATAACTGAAAAATTGGGAATTGGAAACCTAGATCGCCTAGTTACATTAATAGCGGATTTCGCGCCCATTTAAATCACAAAAATTCATTAATTACTGATTTTACTACTCTTTTTGAACCATGCTCACAAAGGTTACAATCCCTTAAACGACTCAACTAAAAATCTAATATCTTGAAGTAATAACATGTCTGAACCACTCCACCTTAAAACTTCTAACTCAATACTAATCCATAATATATTGAGCGCAAATTCCAACTAAACGCTCAGTACATATTTCGACTGATTGTTCACACATGCAATTTATTAGACAGCAATTAATAAGAATCGTTTATTAAATACTATTTAAGTACTCAGCCTCAAAAAGTACATTCTGTGAGACAGTTAGTTATACTACTTCTGCTTCATACGCGTAAACGATGCTCAAAAGCGACAACAATTATATACCTAAATTGTATCTCTCTCCTATAAATGTTTTAAAACCGTTTGCAAGAAGCATACGTCGAATACTCAACAGAAAAGTTTAAATAACTCTAATTACCATAAAAAGAAAATTTGATTACCTTTGCTACGAGTAGGTCGTTTTTTCTGTATACCATTGTTCCTAAGTTTCGTACTTGCTTTAGAATCAAGTAAATTAGTAGACACGCAATCCTTAGGCATTGTACTACCCTCTTCTTTTTCTTCATCGGATTCAATGACAATACATTTCCGCTTTTGTGAAGAATCTAAAAATGCACATAAAGAGTATAGTAGGGTGAAGTGTTACATGTAGTTTTCAAACCAAATTCTTCGTCTTCGTCCGATACGTTCAGTTTCCCACTTTCTACTGGCTTAGAAATTCTAAAATAATAATATTACAGACAGAGTAAGAAATCGAATATTTACGTACATGTTATTTTTAGTGCTTGGTGCCAAATGATTTTCAAGCGTTCTATCTACAGAAACGAGTATAGAACAAATAGTTAACTAACCATCCGGGGCAGACTTTTCAATCTTACTGAAAAAGTTTTTGAAATCTGAAGTTTTAATTTTTTTATTGCATCCACCTGATTTTGTTGTTGAACAATTCCAGCAACTTACTGGTAGCAAGACTCGGTAACACAGGAGAATCAACATGTTCCGGTGCTTTCTGTGCAGTCTCTTGGTTTTCTCGCAATGACGGTGGATCAGAAGATGACTCCCACGGAATACTAGTTAATCTAAAGAGAATCAGTTACAAAGCAGTATATAAAATATACACGAGTGCAAGTATTATAGATTTGAACAATGTCTTAAAAAAGTAAACTAACCTTTTTAATTGATCTGTAGAAATATTATGCAATAAATCGTAGCAAGCCAATGATAAAGAATCCTAAAAGCCAATTATTAATTTATCTGTCAACAGAAACACCTTGCATTGTCGGCGTTGTATACAATAAACAACACATTTAGGTGGGAACGAGAACGATTTCTGAGCCAGTGATAACTGGTCTGAATTGGCCAACTTAACTAATATATCATTTTGTTTACTAATCCCAGTCAGTAGATATACAGATGACAAGTTGTCACGTGCCTGGAGATATGCCGCCATCAAACTAAACGAACATGAATACATATATATATATATATCTATTGAGAACCAGATGGATTACCGTCTCGATGCATCTATATTTAAGTCGAAAGCGATAGATAACCAACTAGCAGTAATCTAGAAAACAAAAGTTATCTAGTACATATCAGTACACATACAAATCCATCTTCATCCTCTAGCTTCTCGTCAAGATTTTCGAAAAGTAATTGATCTCCCATTATACATTGAATAAATCCGAATAAGACTGTGTAAACATGAAAAATTAAAGGATTGATTACATAAAGTTAACTAAGATGAAAGTTTCCAGTTTGCAAAAGCTAAGGTTTGAAAATAAATGACAACTCAGACTCTTGCTTTTGTAGATCTAAACTTAAAAATATAGTTAAATACATAAATGTTTATGTAATGGGTTTGGAATTGCATTTAATCAGATGAAGATATTTGTTATATTCTCAATTTGATACACACAAAGCTGTGTTTGAACTCAAAAGTTATGATTCAATCTAGTCGGTTAAACTAAACAATAATGGTGCAAGCATTAGTGACCAACTGTGACGAATTCTCCAACGTCTAGTTAGAAGTCGTGACTGGCCCTTATCAAGCAAGTTCAAAAGGCATCATTAACGTGCTAAACCTAAAGCTGATGTAATTCCAAAATGTAGACCACAGAATTCCAACCCAGAGGTCTAAAGAAAATAAGCTCGTTTCAACACCTGAAGGTACCAGCTCTAATTCCTGGTAGAATAACCAGTGTGCGCCACCCAAAGAGTAACTGACCGAAGCGAAAGTCATCTGTTCTCAAGTTTTTAGTGGTGCTGCAGCCTATAAATATGATAAAATCAAACTTCACTGATATGATCTCCAAAACCAACTAACCAGATACTGAACCTGTCAAGTACTTTAAACATGTTTAAATAACCGAACTTTAAAACCTCACAATCAATGAACACAGATTTCACTTATGATAAGCGCAGATCGTGGCACAAAGTAAACGATAACAAAAACTTCTGCTGGCGCTAAGAAGCTGGTCTATCATGTGTATTAAATATAATAGGACTACAAGTAAAGTTGAAAAAACATCAAATTATAGCCAAGGGAAGGTTAATAGTATGTAATATAGTAGAAGTGTAGTTGCTGCTTCGATACTGAAAACTTTTAACGAGAAATGGCAAATAATAATGACGGATGCGTCAAGACTGTCATTGACCAGTGTCTTTCCCCACATAATTCTTTCGCTTGGTAGTGCACTGAGGACAGTGCCTTTTTTGAGAGGGGGTGGTGTAACGGAGTCGAAATTACTATGCATGGTGTTGCTAACTTGTTCTGTTTTCTTTCTATTTCAGGGCGATCAAACACAAACGCTCTGCAAGCCGAGGAACAAGCCCTGAATGCCCTAAACCTACAACATGACTCATAGACATTGGTACACTACCCCTCCCTATTCCTATAGACACCTACATCACCAGTTGTAACACGTGTTTTCAGCAGTCACCAAAGAGCGATGAGAATCTAAAATTACAACACACAAGGTTAATTCAACGCCCCACACCAAAAGATAACAAGAGGTTTTTGTCACGGTACTTCTATATTAAAATTCGCGGGGGCTTTACAGAAATAGGGAGGGGTAGTGTACCAATGTCTATGAGTCATGTTGTAGGTTTAGGGCATTCAGGGCTTGTTCCTCGGCTTGCAGAGCGTTTGTGTTTGATCGCCCTGAAATAGAAAGAAAACAGAACAAGATAGCAACAACATATACAGTAATTTCGACTCCGTTACATACCCAACAACTTAACCACCCACACTTACTTTAACCAAGGACGGTATTCAACATTAACAAAGATATGAAACATGGAAACATGAAGTGGAATATCCTTCATCAAATCACTGAAATCTCCGGATTTTGAGTGAATCACAATCAATATCGGTGACCTAACAAATAAACTAATCGATAACTTTTGAACAAAAATTACACTCTTCAATTACCAAAACTAATAACAGATGCTCAATGTATTTATCCGCAACGTTTCCATGTAACCCTAATGTAACACCCAGTGTAGTAACGGTCATCTCTGCGTTCATGGTATCATAGGATTTGTCATTTCATAATGTATTTTTCATTAAATAACCAGACTATGTTGTGAAATTTTCTCAGGTTGTAATTTTTAGTCGCCACGTCCGACTGCGTTACACTGTACGTTCACGTGTAGTCCCAAATCCTCAATGAGGTTGAAGAACCGAGCTTCAATTGAATTTTCAACTCCAATATACTTATGTTTCGCGAAATTAATCTAGGGTGATTGAAGTCCCCTAGAATCGGGATATGAGTGAAGTCGAGACGCGTAGAGCGGGATAGTCCTTCCAGCATACGACTGTCATACTCGATGTCTGCAGTGAGCTTCCTATATATGACTCCGCCTAGAAATCTCGAAGTAGTAGACAATCTTCAGAGCACCGTATGAATTCCTCAAGATTGTTAAACTCATCGTTGTGAACTTGGTGTACCTCCAAGCAAGATCGTATGTAATAATAATAATAATAATTTATTCTCAAATAACATTTCGTTACATGAGGCATGCCAGTTTACAGGCAAGATCAAATTGTTACAAATGATACAATTTCCAACTGTAGTAAATTACTCAGCTGGGTCGATAATTTATAACATATGAATGTAGAATGGTTTTAGTCAGTATCACAGTTGGCGCGCTTCATGAAAGTTACGTTGTGACGTGCAACTAATGGTCGATAATAGATTCATGTGCAGTTGAGGGCTTCTAGAAATCGCAATCTTATATCCCTTTGGAATATTTGAGGCTTTAAGGATGGTGCAGGACGAGATCACCCGTTCCGTATTTCAAGGGAGCTGAAAAATGTTACAAGAAAAAAAACGAAAACAAAAAAGGACGAGAAGCAGAGCAGACAATGTTCATGAAGAAATAGTTAAGGTATGACTACCCAGTCTGATTCTCTTTCAATAAATTATTTAGTAAGCAGGAGCATCCTAATAAGTCAAAGAAAATAAGTGTAAACAAGGTGTGAGTGGATAATCAACTGACAAATGGAGGTGGTTCAGAAGAAAACTGAGAGTATGAGAATATGTAGTTATAAAATATAGTGCTAAAAACAGTGTTATGATACAAAAATGGCTGTCTCCCTTTTTTGTCGACGCTATTGGAGCCTTTTTTAAATTTTATATTGTCCTGACTAGGCTTCTTTTTTTATTATTTAATTGTCTAGTTTGCTTGTAATAGGATTACTGGGTAGGAAGTTAAACCAATTTAACATTCTAAACACGATTTAATGAGGTTCGTGACTATCCACTAGACCATAAGGAGCCGTAATTTATCGAACTGTCCCGCCCTACAGGCGTGGGTGGATTGAAGTTATCTCCCCACCATCATGTTTGCTGGTCAGTAACGCCGCCCTCCCTCCTTTTGTGATGTTAGGCTCTCTTACGTTTGCGCTAAGTATGCATACTGCTTTAATCAAAGCCCATGGTTGGAATACACTGTCTCTACTAGTTCTATGTTACAAGCAAATCAGGTAGTTAAAGCGTTTGTATTATGGGTTAGATGTCCATTTAGTATATCACACTGCTATGAAGATAACTAATGGTGAAATATTAAAAAGAAGATAAGATTATATGTGGTTAAAAGATAGTAGGACTAATAGCAAATCAAATGATATGAAAGAGTAGAAAATTGTAGAATTTTTAGGGTAAGAAAACTAAAACATTGAGCAACTCACAAAATTTTATGTTCAATTTTGAGCTTCGTATGATCAGCCTTAGCAGATCAGCATCCATAAGATTGCTGAGTTATCTGTATACGGCTACTCCACACCCAATTCCTGTTTTTCTGTCGTTGCGAAACAAAGACATTCCAGGTATTGCTAGCTCCTGGTCTGAAAACTGAGAAGATATCCAAGTTTCAGATATTCCTATCGGATGAACATTATTAGCATTGCTAAGTTCACGTAGCTCATCCATTTTGTTTGATAGACTGGCGGCGTTCATGTATAAGCAGCTTATACTTTCAGTTTGAAACGCATGAGCTTCTTCCTATTTGTCTGTATGAGTCTGATGTGAATGAACAGGTAGCCTACTTATATAAGGTTTGCAGAGTTGGTAGGCCCTGTTCTTTACACGTTTTTTATCATCAAGACAGTCCACAAGTGGAATGGTTAGCTCCAACTTGCCTTTGTGCCTAATCCCGGCGTCATGTGGCTTGTCCGGGTGCATATGGATCCCAGTTGGCAACCGACGTCTGTTGGCACGAAATGCTTCCAGAATTGCAGCTGCAATATGGGAGGATGGGAAAATTTATCCTCATTAGCAGTGGTCTAAAATCATTGTCCTTCTTGGCTAGTCTCGTCACATGTTGAGTCAGTATGTTTTTGAGCCTTAAGGACTGTTTGATGAATTTCCGTTCCCTTATATCAGAATTTAATTGACTAGGGTCCGTGTTTTCCGGTACACCTTGCACAATTATATTTCTTCAGCGGAAAAACTTCTTGCGAGATTCTTTAGGGATGTTCGGATGAGATTGCACTGAGAATACGGTATGTCGGGCAGTATTCTGACGTTCCCATTGGATTTCAGTAGATGACTAGCTAGCAGGACATACTCTACGTCGGTAGCATTCTTAAGTGTTACACGAAGTAGCCTCGGGTGATTTTGATGCTTAGATTCGTTTCCCCGAGTGAGCCGTGTGGCCGTCAAAGGCTCTACTCTAGGAAGTTCAAGCTTCTTGTTCAATTCACTCCAGAGCATCCTGTCATTTTTGTCCTGCTAACTGAGAGGAAGTTCAGGGTGGTCTTTGAGGTTCATGATTTTGAGTCACCAGGAACCGTTATTGCTTTCCCAGGTTTTCCGGTGCGTTCAGGTCGAAGCGCGTTTCTGAATCCTAGACTTTTTGATGACCGAGTGGACATTCTTGGGGCCAGACTGTGCGATCAAATCACCAGTTGATTTCCGTACAACACTTGGGATGTTCAGCTTAGACGGTGACGCGTGGTCCTTTTCAGCTCTGTTAATATGGGTCCAATCACCCACAGAGTTTTTGGGAACCACTGTTGCATTCAAGGACCCTGATCTGAGAGACGCGAGTTTACTGAGGGAGTCATTTACCGTCGACGTCATGATGGTGATGAGTTTCAACATGTCATCATTAGTGCTAATGCATGCTCCATCGATGGTAGACCTACCGACATCCGGCGACACTCTAATTTAAGGACGAGCCAATCAGAAGCGTTTGAGCCATTTCAAGGTCACGGAGCCAAGTTTAACGCATGATGCTTACATACGATCGGTTTACAGCGGATTTTAGAGAAGAGGTTATTATTGAGAGGCTACAAAAGATGGGACTACTAAGAAGTTCTTGTACGTTTGACTGCGGTTATCAAATGACTGCAGTAAAGTGTGCAGACCACCGCGGTGAGATTATATTCCTTTTTCTTTCATGTTGGAGGAAAAAGTCTGCTAGAACGGGGACTTTCTTTGCTCGATCGCGACTGAAATTGAGGTAGATCATGATAATAGTTGCGAATCGGGTAATAAAGGCACCAGTAACACTGGCTGCGGCATTTGCAGATGTTACTGAAACCTCAGCAGTCCAGTGGTATGAGTACTGTCGTGACATATGCGCAACTAAAATGACAAGTATACACCAATCATTCGGAGGAGTAGGATGTATCGTGGAGATAGATGAAACGGTAGTGAGAAAGATAAAATACAACAGGGGGCGTAGTATAAAGGAAGATTGTGTAAGTAGCATTTTCGTAAATATACTTGACAGGTATTTAGGATTTATGATAGATCAACTGGAAAGGGACATTTTTAGATGGCCACAAACCGGCAAGCAACCACAATAATACCAATAATACAGGAATACGTGCTGCCGGGTACTACGATATATACGGATGACTGGAGAGCATATAGATGTCTTCAAAGACTTGGATATGTCCATCACGTTGTATTCCACAAACGTCATTTCGTTGACCCTACAACCGGGATTCATACTAATAACATTGAAGCGATGTAGTCAAGATTGAAGGAGTTTTTAAGACCATATCACGCCTCCAAAGGTCGACTATTATGGAGCCATATGGATAAGTTCTTATACCGTATACAATATGATTTCAAAACATCTGAACCTTTATCAAACAAGTTTTTAAATCATATAAAAGAAGTATATCCACTGTAATTCATTAGTTTCTTCTAATATATTTTTACTTTATACTAACTGTTTTCTGATTGGCTAATATTCTCAAGGTCATTTAAAACTCGTTCAAACGTCATCCCTAAATTAGAGTCGCCCCGACATCCCTATTCTTGTTTTCGTCGCGTGCCCTTGTTTGTCTACCTGTTTTTATAACTGTCTTTTGGCAAGTTTGCTGACAACTTATTCTGCAGACCTGTTACTCAGCAAAACTATATTATCTGTGCTGCGCGTAACACATACCCACTTATGATTCAACTTACTGAGTCTGTTGTAAGCAGTTGCTGTGAGATCTGTACACGCTTCATAGAACCAACCTATGCAGTTGTCGCACTGTATGCCAGATGTAACAGCAAAACGGCATTCAGGTTGTATGAATGAATTTTTTATGACTATATTGACATAAGCTGTACTATAGATGCTAGCAAAAGCCTAAAACCGCAAAAAATGTACTAAAAACCACACTAAAGACGGACAAAAATGGATGAGATAAACTGAACTAGCCTTTGAGTGAAAAACTGAAAAAACCGAATAGTAAGTTGAGGCAAAACCACAGTTAACTATTAAATTGAGTGAAACTCGAAAAAAGTAATCTACCGAATGTATAACTCAGAATATATCCTTTAGATCAGAAATGGAACTTTTGTAGCTTAAGAACAAATCAAAAAATTGAGAAATGCAAATCACGTTAGGAATAAACTCCCCATTCAAAAAGCACGCGCCCCATTTAAGTCTTCCGCGTGACGATATCAAAATTTTGTCGAAGTAAAACTTGGGCAGAAATGACTAACTGTTAGCCTCCTGAAGTCCTGTTCTTTATGATAAAAGGACTTAACTTCCGTTTTATCCTCTTAAAACTGAAAGATCGAGTTGACAATACAAGAGAGAATGCTAGAACAAACAAGCAGCATAGGCTTCTG